TCTTCGTGGCGAAGCTTGTTGGCGGGGTATCCATCCCCCGGGCTTGGCGGGTACCTACCCGCGTCCTGTTGTGACGACCTCTTCGTGGCGAAGCTTGTTGGCGGGGTATCCATCCCCCGGGTTTGGCGGATGCCTACCCGCGTGCTGCTGCAACTCCACGTGGCTTGTTGGCGGGGTATCCATCCCCCGGGCTTGGCGGGTGCCTCTCCACGTGCTGCTGTAATGATCTCTTCGTGGCGAAGCTGGTAACGACCTCTTAGTGGCGGCAACGACCTCTTCGTTGCGAAGCTTGCTTCCTGTAATTAGCCATTTTGCGTCATGCTTGCCTCCTGTAGATTCTCGTCCTCGGTCTACACACTCTGCGGCTGCAGCACCGGCGGATGGTGGACGTAGGTTTGTGCTTCTGTTGGAGCACGTGTTTCTGTGTTTGATTTTTCTTCTGCGGTTTGATCCTTAAGCCTTCGGGCCGGAGGTGATACCGCCTTTTTTTTGGCCGGACTTTGTCCTGGTCACTTTCCACTCCACTCCACTCCACTCCATACATAACATTTGGAAGCTGCATTTTGGAGCTTCTTACGTCTAGGAGACTTCTTAAGAGCACTTCTGGGAAGCGCTATTTTGCGGCTTCGAGGCTTCAAATCCCAGCAGCTCGACTTTGGAGTTGCCTGCTCCAAAATCGAGCTTTCGAGAGCTGAGCTTCTCACGCGCTTGTCGGAAGATGTGAAATCGCAACGTGCAGAGGCAAGGAGCGCGAGGCTGCAGCGGAGTGCCTTCGGTTCATGGAAGAGCCGGTTTCTGCCAGCATCGACCTGCACGATGTTGTATCATTTCTTTTAAATATGGACAACTGCGATCAACGGCTCACGCAGATTGCAGCGGATGAGACCGTCAACTGTTGCAGCAACGAAGGGTAGTGGCAAAGGCGTGTCCAGAGAACAAAAAAGATTTCGTGTCCATTCCTTGGCAACCCAGGTGGATGTGATTTTTGCAGAGTCCCGTCATGATTCACATGCCAATCCGCAGAGACCGAAACCAAATTCTGACCAGCATGCCAAGTGCCTGCTAAGCCAGAGTCTGCAACAACGATGATGTACCTTCTCCAGAAGCGCAAAGCTTGTTGAAAGGAAAAGACAGCTTTTGAGCTCATTCTCATTCTCAGGGCCCAATGCAGCTGGCCGGGGATCTGGTTTTGTGGGAGCCGGACCAGTGCGGAGGTTCGATGCCCGCTCCGTTCGGCGAGCACGTTGGGGTTTCAGTTTTCCAGCAACCTTACGCCCATTCACATTCCCCACCCATTTCAACATGTATGTTGACCACCCAAACATCACGTTTGCGCCTGCAAGGTTGCTGGGTTGTAGGGTTTCCCAGCCTGAATCACTCTTGGAGGCCTTGGTGATTGGCAGTGGGCGTGGCCTGTTCGAAAACGCCGTTTTTAAACGGGTGCGGGTGTGCACGGGATGCTACTTGTCGCTTGTGTCACGATGGGTTTCGGTTACACAGTTGCGCTACGTTGCTCTATGTCAGACAACCCGACCGTAATGTGATGTGGCGTGTAAGCTAGCCCTGCCTTCCAAGAGCCAGCTGGACCTTGCTGCTGACTTCAACTGAAATTCAACATGAAACCAACTGAAGAGATGCCACGATCAAAGGAGCCCCGAACCGGATCACAAGCACAGCAACGGCTGACACCACTCATCCCAAACTGGCTCCCTCAGACCTCGCATGTCAAGCTCCAAGACTCCAGCGGCTCCAACTACACCCAGCAGAGCTTCGAAGAAACGGAGTTCTTACACGGCATGCTTCCGTCACAATCCGCACGCCCAACCACCTCGCACTCTCCGTGAACTGAACTTCACCGTTTGCGGGACGCGGTGATTTTCCTTGGCACAGCTTGTGTGAGCGCTTCACGCTTGTGCTTGTGAGGCCTGGCATGGACAACAAGGCCAGGAATGCCATCAGGCAGCCCAACGCAGCGCAATGCGGCATTTTGCTGGGAATGGCTGCGCGATGTGCGGCAATGTGCTTTCTACCTGCCGCCCTCAGGAGCTCTGGACTGGTTGCCGGAGATGCAGAGAGCTATTCTGTGCTTCGGGCTGAGATGCTCGTTGCTGCCGCGCGGCCGGTGCTGCCCGCCGCAGCTCGCCATCGAGGTTTGCTCCGATCTTCGCTCCTGCCCTCGCGGCCAGAGTCTCGAAGTCCCCCCAAGGCTGTGCCTAGGCCTAGACGGTCACGGAGCTCCTCTGCTGTTCTTTCGATGAGGTCAACGGCTACTCTGGTCCACGCCATCCTGAAGTCCTGGATCCAGCCTGTGTTCCGGCCCTTTTTTGCTAGTGTTGGTGCAGGACGAAGCTGAAAGGCAGGAGAGGTGGTCATTTCAGCAAACAGTCAGGTCAGCAGGCCAGTCGCTGCGTATGGTGGCCACGTGATCGGTGCTCGAGTAGAGGCGAGTGAACAACTTGACCAGTCCGCAGCGTCGCCTCAGAGTGCAGAAAGGCATCCCGGAATCTGACCAACTTCTGCTTTCCATCAGCGATGACTCTCGATGAGCGTGCAGACCTGGAGCGCATCGTCACAAAGGCGGGTGCAATGCAGGCCCTGCAAATCCGAAAGTCAGAGACCGCACAGGTTCTTCTCGAGTGGGAGGGGGATCTGAGCTCAGGGGCAGAGCATGGGATTCCTTGTAGCGAGTGCCCCGTCCCTGCACCTCAGGACCTGGCCGGCGACTACTTCCCTCTCAGCGGCTCTGGGTCCTTTGCTGCTTCCTTAGAGTTTTTTTTGGAGGTCTCATTCACTCGGCGTGTTTCGTCTCTGAAGCTGCCAGGTGGCTTATGACGGTGGTATGACGGCAGAGGAGTGTCATGCTGACATGCTGAAACGGCCGTGTGCTGTATGCACTGTGAGCGTTCTTGGAGGATGCCTCCGACCTGGAGAGTCATGGTTTTCTCTTCCAAGCTCCGAGCTCCGCAATGTTCCTCTCTTCGGGCATGGGCAAACATTGGCCCCAGGCCGGAACAGCACCGGCTTTGACTAGAAGAGCGGGAGCGGAGAGCGGAGGGAGAGGCTTCTCTTCTTCTAACTGACTGAGGCGCGTGGCGTCTATGCGAACAGCTCGAGGGACATGGCCATCTGGATCAATGAAGAGGCGACATGATGTGGACTCGCGCGCTACACGCCCTAAAGACCCCCACTTCCCCGTGCGAAGTCAAGGTTCACGCCTCCTTGAATGCGAGGGCAGGGTCTGCATTCTGAATCCCTACCAAGCCGTTTCTCGTGACCTCCAATACCTGTTTGGAGCACGGAGAGCGCAGATGCTGCCTGCTCGGGTGGCTTGCAACGCGCATTGACATGTTCCGCTCCATACCTTCGCCCCTCATCACTGTGCTCGCTAGTTCATGCTGTTGCTTTGACAGATGCCTGCGAGACGGACGAACAAGCAAGCCTTCATGGATCGGAACGACGCGTCGAACGATGCAGAATGTGGAAGGTAAGGCTATCCTGCACCACGGAAAGGTGCTTCCAAGGTCTGAAGCCAAAGCCCTGAAAAGTCGGTGCCCCATGAGCCCCACGCGCACCCTTGCCGACTGAAGCGTATTGCATGCCATGCACATCTTCGTCTTCTGTCCGTAGGACCGCCCTGCCAGGGTCGGGAGTCTTGAACCTTTTCTGTCCCTGAGGATCATCTTCGCTTGATCGCCACGGCAAGTAGCCCCCAGAAGGCCTTTGATCGCTTCTGTGCCCTAGAAGGCCGGATGGTGGCCGGGCGGGGGGAGGGGGAGTCCGGGAGGAGTTTTTCTCTGGCTCAGGTGCGCTGAAGCTCGGCTTGCAACACGAAGGCCTGAGCTTCGCCTCGCACGAGGCGCGAGCGAAATCGCTCGAACTCAAGCCTCCGCCTCTGCATGGCGCGGAGCGCATGGCGCGAGGCTTTCGGGTTTCTGACCTCGTGTCCGTCAAGAGTTGGCCCGCTGCTCACGCAACTCGAATGGCTGTGCCCAGCTTGTCCGCCCTAAGGTACCGGCGGCTTCCAGGCACATCGAGCATCGACTTTGAGAGTTTGGAGCTTCTGTGCAGCAACTCCGAGGTTGGTGCTCAACTGAAGCTGGCCCTCGTAGAAGACGCGGAGGCACCACTTGCAAGTTGCATGAGGGGTGGGAGTTGCGGCTGCAGGGGTTTGCATTTGCAAAGGACCGACACTTCGAGGATGTTTCCTCTGAGATCGAAAGTCAAGGGGTCCTCCAGATGAAGGCAACTGCCAGGATAGGTCTGGTCCCCGGGTCTCCGTCCCCGCATCCTTACGGGCTTGGGCCGGCTTGTCGTGCCGCCAAGGGCAGTCCGAAGCAGACATGGTACAGGCAGTCACTGCCTGAGACAGGGAACCGCCCCATGCTTTCGCAGCGTACCGCTCTGTTCCCAGGTCGTATCGGCATGTGAGCAGCTGATTGCTGAGGAGATCCAGCTGGCCACAGGTAGCTAAGGTTGAAACTGCTTGACAAAGGTACCTATGCAGCCTATGCAGTATTGATTGCTGGTCAAGGTCTTGCCAGGCAAACTACAGTCGGACAGGGAGCTGTCCGTTCAAACGTGGTCGAGAATTTTTCAGCCAAGCTGAACAGCATTCGGTTTCATCCAAACGAATGGAATTGTCAGCCACTTGGTGGCATGGTGGGAACCACCACATTTTCAATGCCTCGAACGCGCATGCGCTTGGAGTTCAACGTCAACATCACGCATGCAGAGTGTCACTTCATAGCCACATTGACATATATATAGCGATCTTGCAGCGAAAGTTGCAGATCGAATCCTGCGCACGCCGCAAGTTGCAAAATTTGCCTCCGTGTCCGTTGTACGAGCTCGCTGCGCGAATGTTCTGCAGAGCTGCAGACCCACCGAGCCGCAGGCAAGCTTCCATCTTCGCGTGGTCCAGATGTCAGAGGCACAGAGTGCTTGTAACACGGGACACACGCGGGATCCCTTTCCGGTACCATGCCGATGCCAGGAGGTCCGCACCCGGCCGAAAGGCGCGAAGCGGGACTCGGCAGCTTCGAGTTCAGATCGCGGATCTGCGAGACTGCGAAGGTGTCGCCACAAGGCGAGGGTCTTCGTGACAGCGAGTGCCAGACGCGTGAGCCTGAGCTCCTGTCCTGTCCTCTGTCCTGAGAGACTGAGACGATCTGAGACGCTCTCTCTGTTCCAGGACCAAGTGGGAGGGAGTCTGTGGCAGGCCAGGTCTTGCGACGTATTCGCATCCATCGCATCCACGTCCCAGCTTGAGAACAATACTCCCTATGCGCTTTAAGAATCCCGGACTCCCGTCGCTACCACAAACCGCTGTTCGATGATGTCACCTGGCTACATTGTAATTGTAACATATTGTAATCACATCGCCTGCTGGTAATGTCCTGCTCTGCAATAGTTGATTACACAGTTTTCACCCAGGGCAGTCAGAGCAAAGTGCATTCATGGCACACTGCGGGTGATCCTCATTGACCTCTCCGCAGTACCAGGTCCTGTCATTGCATCTCCCGCCAATCGCGAATCTCACGAACCATGTAATCTCCCTCAGCAAGTCGCGATCGTGACCTGCCAGAATTCGACGCCGAAAAACGAGGAGATCTATTCGACTCCGTAATCTGTGTAGACTCAAAGGCCGGCGCACGATCTAAACATCTAAAGCCACAGGAGTCAAAGCTCTTTGCTTTGGTCCTGCCACGTGTTCTTAAAGGCTAAAAACTTTAAACCCGCCTTGAACTGCCTCTTGCTCTCAAGCGTCCCAGCCGACATCGAAGAGGTGTGAGAAGATGTCGCGCGACCTGGAAGAGGCAGTCAAAGTAAGTGCAGTGGCTCTTCTGTCTATGCAAAATCTTTATGCAAGCAGGTCCTCGCTGCTTTGCGTACAGAGCAAAAGCCGCTTGGTGACAGCTGAGTTTTGTTGAGAGATCGGTGTAGTGTTCTTTTTCCAGGCCAAGGGTAGCCGGCATCCTTGATGGAGTGTGGAATACTTTTTTGAAGAAACTCTGTGTTTTATGTTTGGGGATCTCTAGTGCACGATTACTTGATTGCGCTGATGCTTAGACTCAAGGTTTAGGAGCAGCAATGAATGGAGGATGTTGGCCCATGTTGATTTAAATAAAACGTGACAGAAACGTGAAATGAACGTGAATTGGCTATGTTGGCAAACGTGCTTAACCTCACCCTGTTTTCACGTTTTACTAAGGATAACGTGTTATTCGGTTTCTAGCATCACGTTTCTTGCACGTTTCTGGCACGTTTCCTGTCCGTTTCTTCACGATGCCATGCACGTCGACTGCACCTTGTTTGCACGAATCAGCATCCTCCATTCCATCGCCGCTTTTAAATCTAGGTTGGCTAGTGAGGTGTTTAGCATAGGCTCTCTGTGGCCGTTGCAGTGCTTTGACATGCTATGATCATCAGAGGGCGAAGGGGGTACGCGGCCGCCAACTGTTTTGCAGTGCCGTGGCACATTCCCAGTGTCCCCAGTATTCTCATGAGGGGTGGACCCGGCACACCCAAATCCGATGTCAGTTTTCGGTCCTTCAATGACGAGCAACGGGAGAGATCATATTCAAGATTCTCTACTTTTGCTGCAAGATGTCTCGCTTCTTCACAGATACTTTCGACAACAAAGCTTACAAACCCATGCGGTTTTCAAGGCGCAAACACGCCTTAGCATTACTATGACGTGCCGAGGTGATGTTGACAAAGATGGTCGGGCACCATGGGACAATCCGAACCCTCTTACAATTGGCTGTGGAGCTGCTGAACCATGTCCCGGCATGCCATGCAAACCCGCACCACGAATATCATCCAAGAAAGCCGACGTACCCTTTCGTACAAAAATGGTTTCACCATTTTCTGCAACCCTATTGGTTCGGTGTTGCGGGTATGGGTAGGCAAAACAACCAATTGGAAAGCTGAGCATAACTGTGCCAGCACAGACCCTACACGGTCAAAGACCAGATAGTGCAGACTAGTGGAGGACCATGTTCCGAGACCACGCCCCTGTGCCAAAAAACTCGACCATGCCAGGACCGCTCCCAAGCCCAGCCCAAGGTTCAAGACCAAGCGGAACTGTTCGCGGCAAAGCCTCAAACACGCACAGGTCCAAAAGCAAGGGTCACGACTCAGTGACGATGCGAATAGTCTCACATTGGCAGCGGCATTGATAGGGATCAAAAAAAAGTAAATGTGCATCAACAAATATTCCAACTTGGATCAACATATACTTAAACGAGGGAAGGAGGAAGAAAGGAAGGAAGGAGAAAGGAAGGCAGGAAGGAAGAAAGAAAAGCAGGAAACGACCGAAGGAAGAAGGGACGAATCGAAGGACGGAAGGAAGAAAGAAGAGGGGAAGGAAAAAGGGAAGGGCCAAGGGAGGTTAATTTTTAGCTTCCTGGCATCTCGGCTTCCGAACGAAGACTTCCTGGCTTCTTGTTTTTCGGCCTCATGGCTGCTTGATATGACATGTATAAGCGTCATATGTAATGATTAATATATAGTGATATATATATAAATTCAACGGAATAACGAAGGCCAGACAAAGAGAGAGAGAGAGAGAGATTGACCGTAACATATGGGGGGGCCTTGATGGCCGGGGGGCCTAAACAGCTCCCTAAGCCCTGGCGAAAAAGAGGGACCGGAGCCATTTTGGCTCAAGTCTCTCACCTTGTAGGACCCTCCACTGTCAACCGGGGGCCCTGGTGGGGGGCTTGAGGCCACCTGCCGCGACATTCGGCTTACAGAGGCCCTCCAGGGTTTCGCTCAAAGTCTTGCCTTGAAGCTGGCCCTCGCGGGCTGTCACCTTTGTGGGACACCTGGCTGTTTTCGGGGTGAGGAGCCCGAGGTGGCGCGGGAGTAGGGGTCGTGCACAGATGCCACAGCACAGAGGACCAGAGAAGCACCAGCTGAAGGGGACCAGACGCAGCCCGGGCAGCACTTTGCCGAGGAACTCCGCTACGAGAGGGGGACCTACCTCGACGCTGGGAAAGGGACACCAACCATGGAACGGACGTGAATACGGCAGGGACATCGCGAATGAGAAGTTCACAAGATGAGGACGGCGGGGCAGCTTCCAAGCAAACTCCGCCAAAACGCGCAGGAAGCGGGCGGCAGGAACCCGTATCCTACTGGTACATGGAGTCAGGACGCGAACCACCCCGGCGAAGAAGGAGTGGACAAGCAGCGCATGTGATGCAAACACCGGTGCGATGGACGACGAGGACACCAGGCGAAGGGGCACTACAAGTGGCGCCAGCGCATCTGAGGGGCAGCGACCGGGTAGGTGATGGCTCGGAAGTTTTGAGTTGCAACAGTGTACTGCACACAGGGGGACCACCCTTTCCGGGAACCGGTTCAAGCAGTTGCTTAACGACGGACACAGGCCAACACACGTTGAAACTTTGTCCGAGTACCATCCAAGATTGACAGACAAATGGAGGCACTTGCTTATGTGGGGGATTCGCCAACTCAGTGCCCGGGAACTTGTTTTCCAACCTTGACCAGCACAGAAGCGTGCCACAGCTGTCAGCAGAAGCCTGGTGAGCACGCAAACCCCCATACCTGAATCATAGGAGCTTGCTGTTGTTAACATGTGCTGCTTCCAGACTAAAATCGTTCGGGGGGACCAGGTTGCTTGGAGACCCTGCCCCCCACGAGGGCACTCCACTCCTTTCACGATGTTCGGTCCTTGCGACCACCCGTACAGACGAGCCTTCTTTGCCAATACGGTGGACGGGGATGCGCCTTGAGAACGAGTCACGAGGACAGCTCCTGGCTCCGACCCCAAGCTAAGCAAAGCAAACCGAGAGAGAAAGACAGAGAGATAAAAAGCACGACGGAAAGACCAGCAGCAGCAGCAGCAGCAGGACTAGCAGGAGTAGTAGTAGTAGTAGTAGTAGTAGTAGCAGTAGCAGTAGCAGTAGCAGTAGCAGTAGCAGTAGCAGTAGCAGTAGCAGTAGCAGTAGCACTAGCAGTAGCACTAGCACT